TCCTGGCCTGTGCTTGTGTATCCTTCTTATCTATGAAGCTTCCTAGCAACATTCCCTCCCATGAACTTTCTTTGCCTTTCATCTCCTGACTCACCGCTAACAATCTTTAAAACCGGCAGTCCAGCTTTGCCCCTTTTTTCCCATCCTCAACCTCTCAATTCTCCCTTGAAAACGATACGACACACATCATGGCTTCCCCCGCTTCCACCCCGCTTCCCGATGGCCATGTCAATGGCAACGTCCTTCCCACCGGATCAGCTCCCAAGCTCTTCGGGAGCAACGATGGCTCTCAGTCTGGTGCTGGCACCCCCATTGGCTTTCAAAGATACCCACACAACAAGCTTCTCGACCATGTAGCGGGATCGACTGTACGCCATCCATCTCCCCAACCCACTCATCTGGGAATTCCCGGTAGTCCGCTACACCGGGTCCTCTCTGAGGAAGATCCAGGCTACATTGCTGCCAAGTTTGAGGGCAAGCAGAAGCAGATGGAACAAGGTACGCATCACTTGCTCGAATAAGTTCATGCTCAATTCTGTGCCGCTGACGCCGGTTGTCTCGCCTATAGTCATGGACCAATTAGAAGAGAAGGGCTTCTTCCCCAGTGATTTTGTCGTTTCCGAGACCACCTGGTTCTACAACATGCTCGGAATCGATGACACATACTTCCAAACCGAATCCGTCGACGCTATTGTGACCCAGATCCTGTCTCTCTATGCCGCGAAGGTGGCGGCTTATGCGCGGGATGACAAGAAGCTTGAAATCAGACTGGACAAGGAAGCGGAAGATCACGCTGTCTATATCGATACCAGTAAACCTGGCGTTTCGTCCGTCGATGGCCCCCGTTACGAACAAAGAATTGACGCCAAGTATATCAGCAACTCGACTCCTGAAAACAGCTACAGAGTTGAGACTTTCCGTTCGCCAACTCCTCTCCCTGGAGACAGCGAGCAGCAGCTCCGTTGCTACTTCGTCTACAAATGTCAATTCGCCAACCCCAATCCCGGTCCCAACGAGACCGACATCGAGATCATCGGCGAGAAGAGATTCTTGCAAAAGGCAACTGCCAACACCAAAGCCATCTACCAGGAGATCATCAGCAATGCTGTGAACCGGGCCGGTCCTGTCATTGAGATGTTTGAAATTGAAGGCAGTCGCGAGAAGAGACTGGTTATCGCGTATCGCCAGGGCTCAGCCATGGGTCTGTTCAGCGCGCTCTCCGACTTGTACCACTACTACCGCTTGACCAGCTCTAGGAAGTATCTCGAAAACTTCTCCAACGGCATCACGGTCATCTCTCTATACCTGCGGCCGCTGAAGAATGCAGAGATCTCTGCCAAGTACCCTCCCATCGAGGCAGCCATCCACCAGATCATCAAGGAGACCTCCCTTCTTTATTGCATTCCCCAGAACCGCTTCCAGCACCACTTCGCCGTTGGCCGTCTGAGTTTGCAGGAGACTATCTACGCTCACTGCGCATGGGTGTTTGTGCAGCAGTTCCTGAACCGTTTGGGCTCGGAGTACACCTCGTTGACTGCCGTGCTTGACGCCAACAACAGCGTCCATGCAGAGTTGCTGTCGAAGATCAAGAAGAGGCTGCGTACCGAAACCTTCACGGCCGACTACATTTTCGAGATCATTAACAAGTACCCGGAGCTGATCCACAAGCTCTACCTGGACTTTGCCAACACCCATTATGTACAGACGCGTGCCTCGGAGGATGACTTCCTGCCAACCCTCAGCTACCTGCGCTTGCAGGTCGACGAAGTCCTGGACAGCACGAGACTCAAGCAGCTCATTTCCGGTACTGTTGCTAACGAGCACGACGAGATGGTCATGAGCGCCTTCCGGGTATTCAACACCTCCATTCTCAAGACCAACTTCTTCACGCCGACGAAGGTGGCTCTCAGCTTCCGGCTGAACCCCGATTTCCTGCCCGATCACGAGTACCCGCAGCGTCTGTACGGTATGTTCCTTGTGATCAGCTCCGAGTTCCGCGGGTTCCACCTGCGATTCCGCGACATTGCTCGAGGTGGTATTCGTATTGTCAAGAGTCGGAACAAGGAAGCTTACAGCATCAATGCGCGCTCCCTGTTCGATGAGAACTACAACCTGGCAAACACACAGCAGCGCAAGAACAAGGATATTCCGGAAGGAGGTGCCAAGGGTGTCATTCTGCTGGATGTTGACCACCAGGACAAGGCTCGTGTCGCCTTTGAAAAGTACATCGACAGCATTCTGGATCTCCTGTTGCCGCCAGTCAGCCCGGGCATCAAGGACCCAATTGTCGACCTGCATGGCAAGGATGAGATTCTCTTCATGGGCCCCGATGAGAACACGGCCGAGTTGGTCGATTGGGCTACGGAACACGCGCGCAACCGTGGTGCGCCGTGGTGGAAGTCCTTCTTCACGGGCAAGAGCCCCAGACTAGGTGGTATTCCTCACGATACCTACGGTATGACTACCCTTTCAGTGCGCCAGTATGTACTCGGTATCTACCGCAAGCTGGGCATCGATCCCTCCAACATCCGCAAACTCCAGACTGGCGGTCCCGACGGTGATCTGGGATCCAACGAAATTTTGCTTGCCAACGAAAAGTACACCGCCATTGTTGATGGTTCCGGTGTGATTGTCGACCCCCAAGGCTTGGACCACCAGGAGCTGATCCGACTGGCTAAGAAGCGAGTCACCATCTCCGAATTTGACCTGTCGAAATTGTCTCCTGAAGGCTACCGCGTCCTGGTGGATGAGAGCGACGTCAAGCTTCCCAACGGCGAGGTCGTGCACAATGGAATGATCTTCCGCAACACTTTCCACTTGCGCTCCGACCAGCATTACGATGTGTTCGTGCCTTGCGGTGGACGGCCCGAGTCCATCGACCTGTCTACTGTTGGAAAGCTCATTCAGAATGGCAAGTCTGTCATTCCGTACATCGTCGAGGGTGCCAACCTGTTCATCACCCAGGACAGCAAGCTGCGCCTCGAACGCGCCGGATGCATCCTGTTCAAGGATGCTTCGGCCAACAAGGGTGGCGTGACGTCGTCCTCGCTGGAAGTTCTGGCCTCGCTCTCGTTTGACGACAAGGAGTTTGTCGAGAATATGTGCATCCGTGAAGACGGCACCGTTCCACCGTTCTACAGCGCCTACGTCAAGCAGGTGCAGGAGATCATCAAGTCCAACGCCACACAGGAATTTGAGGCGATCTGGCGCGAGCACGAGCAGACTGGTGTTCTGCGCAGCGTGTTGAGTGACCGTCTCAGCATTGCCATTACGCAGCTGGATGAGGAGTTGCAAAAGACGCAGCTATGGGATAATGTTGAGCTCCGCCGAGCTGTATTGAGCGATGCCCTCCCCAATCTGCTCCTGGAAAAGATTGGTCTGGATACCATTCTTCATCGGGTGCGTTTCCCCCTAATTTGATAAGCAGAAGCGAGAAACTGACTCTTGAATAGGTTCCGGAGAGCTATCTGCGGGCTATCTTCGGCAGCTACCTTGCGAGCCGATTTGTATACAAGTACGGTAGCAGTCCTAGCCAGTTCTCATTCTTTGACTTGTGAGTAGTCCCATGTTGCTTTGGTTCTGATGCTGGAGCTAACCACATACCATAGCATGACCCAACGACTTGCCGCAGTCAAGCGCTCGTAATAGATAGTTAGACAGGGGCACTCGAGCCCTCTTTAGATTTGTGATGTTGCTTTGCATTTGCTGGGGTTTTGAAAGACTGCAAAGGCGGTCCTACGCGCACAAATATTGACATTGCATGGGAATACGGACTGAGTAAAATGCTTATGAGTAATTAATGAATAGCACATCTCTTTTTTTTTTCACTTCACCTTTTCTTTTTGGCGTAGCAACATTAACGTCTCACACAATTGTGTTAGGAGCAAGGATGGAATGAAATAGAATCTTCCCTGGTAGCCTTAGGTCTCATTTCATTCCCTCGTGTGGCTGGACTTGTTTACTCCTCACTTGAGAGTCCTCAACCACCCCAACTCATCATCTTAGCGCTCTTGAGCACGGCTTGGATGCTCTAGGTCGACGAGGAGTTTTGAAGAGGGGGAACTGCCATGACCCAATATCACTCTTCGTTGTCAGGATGAATTGTTGCATCTAACAGCACATCCAACCCCATGCAGCCCGACAGACGACACGACCCCACGAAACAAGAGACACCCTGGTTGAACACCAAGACCAACATTGCAGCAAAATGCGGGGTAGTGGCGCCGTTTCATCTATTTAGCTTGGTCTCCCAGATTGCAGATGTGTCTAGACGGCTCGGCGACCTTAAAAAGGTGCTTATCTCCGTTTCTCTGGCCCCGATGCGTCACAATGCCCCCAGCATATTGATATTGGTCGACCAATCGAGACTTTTCGACAGGGCCAACTTCTTCATCTGCACCGTCGGCCTCGGTTTCAAATGCCGGGGAGAACCGGCACTTGTGCAGGATTTGCTTGTTTCTGTGAAGTGCCTTGTTGGTTTCTGGGGCCATTTAGCGCTGGTGGAGGGGGGGTGGAATGAAGCTTTGCCGAGGTCGCTTCTTGTCCGTCGTTGCGTCTGATGACGGAGATGCATGATGCATGTCTGGCTTGGGGAGAGTCTGCGAGTCTGACTGGCAGAGAACCTGCTTCGGCATTGCTGGATGAGAGGGTTATTGGTGGGATTTTCCGGGAAAGAGGATGATGGGAGTCCTCTACTATGCTTTGAGGTACGAGGTGACTGCGTCAATTCGTACTGCAGCGCTTGGACTGGGTGTTTCAGGGTGATTGGGGACTGGATGCCCGTGCCATTGTCGTTGTGAAGACAGCAGAGAGAAATTCCCAATGGCAGATGGGAACTGGCGACGCATCGTGGGCTTTCCCCATGCCTCCAGCCTCGGTTGGAGAAGGTAGATTGTGGTATAAAAGGCTCCAGAATGTCTCGTTGGATGGCCGCTTTCATCAACGGTCTTCTCATTGAATTGCATTGTTGAGTTTCGACCAGACCTCTACAGAAGGACAAGATGCTTTCCAAGGTTTCCGTGATCGTTGCAGGCCTGTCCCTGGCGTCCTTTGTGTGCGCTGCACCCTCGCTGGAATCTCGAGCGACCTCCGGTTCGTGAGACACTGGTCGTATAGGCACTTTGCTGTCTAATTGACATGCGGCAGATCCGTCCGCTTTCGCAGACTTGCAGCGAGCGGCCGAGCTCTCCTCTGCTGCCTATACAGGCTGCCTGGGCTCTGCCTTCGATGTCACCATCACCAAGCAGATCTATGATCTGGCAACCGATACCCAGGTACGTTCGCCTATCGCTCATTGAGAATCAGAGTGTGGCTGAACCGTCGCTCACACGTGCAATGACCTAGGGTTATATCGGCTACTCCACCAAGAAGAAGACCATCGCGGTCGTCATGAGAGGATCCACCACGGCCACGGATATCCTCAATGACATCGACACCTCCCAGGTCACCCCGACCTTGGCAGGCGTCAGCTTCCCCTCCGGTGTCACCGTCATGAACGGCGTGTACAGACCCTGGGCCGCCGTCCACGACGAAGTCATCGCCGCGGTCCAGGGCCTGATCGCCCAGTACCCGGACTATACGCTCGAGTCCACGGGACACTCGCTCGGCGGCGCCCGACGTACATGTCGTATATCGCTCTGGCGCAGAATTTCCCGACCAAGTCGATCAGAAGCAATGCCCTCGCGGCATTTCCGATAGGCAACCAGGCATTTGCTGACTTTGGCACTGCGCAGAACGGGACGCTTGTCCGAGGAAATAACATGAATGACGGTGTTCCTGTAAGTGCTGGGCAGTGAGGTTCTGGCGAGAATCTGATGTCGGTGCTGACGCTATGATTCATTAGAACATGTATGTGACGGCTCCGTATAGCTTTGTTCATTATGGAATTGTAAGTCTCTCTTTGTTTGTTTTCGGGCTTGCCGAGTCCTCAAGCCAGCATTCAATGCTTCTCTTCTTGCTCATTCGGTGTCTCTGTAGGAGTACTACAGCTACGGTACTTCTGCCACTACCCTCAAATGCTCTGGCGAGAGGGATCTGCAATGCTCCGCTGGGAACGGCGTGGTGGGTGTGACACCAGGTCATTTCAGCAGCTTCGGGATCGCACTTGGGTACGCAGGGTGTGGACCCTAGATTTCATCTCAAGCGATGTAGCACTCCATAGGGCGCAACGTCGCGTCAAGACGAAAGTTTTGGTGGCTGAACGACTGAAAGTATGGTACCTAGCCTTAAAGAACAACAGAGGTTTTCGCTTTGATCTCATCACACTTTGTTCGTGATTATTATACAGAATGCCGTGGCGTAGAAGATATATACAATGAAGGCCCACTGTAGGTCAGGATGATCGGCTATCCAACTCAAACTTGAAGCCCTCTTCATGATCGGTGCGTTCGAGTTTCTCAAGCTGTGCCCATTGCTCCGGGTAGTGCACTTTGGCCCACTTTTCAACCTCATCTTTCCAGTATTGATACGGAATGGCATTGTAGAGGCGGCCAATTCTACAACATAAACTGTTAGCAGTGTCGCCACAACAACGGCGTCAAAATAGAGGGTTTGTAAGAGGAAAGGTGACATACGAGTCGTGAGTCGGAGAGGATCCGATTTCCTCCTGCATTTTGTTAATCGCCTCAGTCGCAAGATCAAACTCGCACTGTGCAGCCAACGCTTCGACGTATGCCATATACAGCCGTCGGTCCACCTCGATCTCGAGTAGTTTGACCTTGTCCATCATCCTCATCGCCTCTTGTGCTCCATGATGGTGCCTCTCGCACATCTTGAAGAAGGCCCAGATCGTCCTGGTTGACGGCCCTTCCTCTGACTGCAGAATGTCACGGAATATCTCCATGCTCTTATCTGGCATATCACAACAGGCGTAAGCCAGCATCAGCTCGTTCAGGAGTCGAATGTTGAGGTCGACTTCTACATCCAACTTGAGCATGTTGTGGACGAGCTCCAGGTTTTTAGCATCTTGCATCTGAGCAATGCCTTGGAAACATCGCGCATAAGTATCGGGCTTTGGACGCCGCGCGAAGTCCTCCGCTTGGCGCATATGCCCAAACACGAGGACCGCGAGGTCGCCTCTTTTGCGCTTGAAGAAGGACGTCATGATCTCGGTCCTCATGCCCACTCCTGTTTCCGGAAAGGCGACCTGCAGCAATCCGTATGCCTCCCACGCGTCTGCACTATCCTGAGTGGCATCCATGATGTGATTGGTGAGCGCCTGCCGGATTTTCGTCCTCTCCTCCGAGTCGTACGAGCCGAGACGGGGCCGAAGCAATTCCGAGACGCCTTCCCAGTCGTGTCGGTAGAGCAAGAGCTGCGTCAGTGCTGCGAGGGTGTCTGCCTCTAGACGGACATTGTTCTCAAATAACGGGTCCAGAAAAGCGGAAACGCGATCGTACAAGGCATCATCTTTCCCCAACAAGCAAAGCATACTTAGGAGCCTATTCATTAATGGCAGATTCTCAAGTGTGAATGAGCCGATGTCTTGTAATTCTTCCACCGACCTCATCGTCTGTTTCACATCGCCGGCCATAATTTCAGCTTCCAACCGCAGGAGACGTGTTTGCGTATCTGGCAGAACATTCCATTGAGAAGTTAGCGCGGCAAAGTCGGCGGCAAGTTGCGGGTTGTTGATGGAATTGGCGTATTGAATGAGGTTATTGATGTGTGAGACAGTAAGCGTTGTCTTCACGTCAGGGTCTTCCAACGTCCATGTCTGAAGCATTTCCGAGATCTCAGAAGCGCTCTTGCCGTGAACAGCTTCCCACAGCAACATCATGCCCACAGTCTCTGATTTGGGCGTCTGAGAGACTGACTCAACGATAGGCTTCGCCCACGATATCTCGGATTTGAGAAGGGCATAATTAACCACAGCTCTCTTGGTAGCAAGCGTGGGCTCGTTCTCGCCAGAAATTGGACACTCATACATGATTTTGACAGCCGACAGTAAGTCTTGCTCAATGAGCATTTTGACCAATTGTTCGTGAGTTTCGCGATCGAATTTGATACCGAGCTCATCGAATTTTTTCTTGGTGGTCCAACGGAGTTGCTGCTTATCATTGTTCATGGCAAAGCCTCTCATCACTGTAAGCCATGGCGAGGGCTTGGTCTTGCGCAGCCTGCCCCAAAATCTCTCGACAACGTGCCGTGCTTCCTCCGGGTTGCCATTCAAGGCCTGAAATTTGATATAGGCAGAGAGGGCAGGTCGGCTGATATTATTGGCACCATAGCCATGATCAGCACACAGCTCCAGAAAAGCGAAACGAGCTACCTTGAGAACGGCCTCACGCGACTCCGGAAGGCATTTGGCTTCTGACAGGACAAACAGCACATTCTCAAGGTTCTCTGTAGAATACATTGTCTGCCAGTCTTCAGCTTCAAGCTCGGCTTCATGAGACCTCATGTATTTCCATGTCATAGAGAGTAGCTGCGCCTGATATCCCGTAATGACCTCGGAATTCTCCGCTCGCGCCACGAAAAAGTCATGAAACGCCTTTGCCAATACACCAAGTGCAGGACCCCTACTTTTGTCAGACAGCGCTCTCTTTAAGTCCCTCATCGGCTTCAAGCCGGCCTCTGAAGGTAAAGTTGCAGGCTGCGGAGTATTGGCTGGTGGTGCCATGTTGAACGCGAAAAGGCTCCGTCGTTGAGCAAGGCGCGGATTGATCATGTCTAACCTCCGAGTCCGGTGATGTCGCGTAATATGAAGAAGTCGATTGCAGCATTTCGAGGGGAATAAAGGCTCATTATTCAAAATGGCTCGAAACACTCGTCTTGTAAGATGGGATTGCATGTTGATAAAAGCCGCAAGAGCGACCGGCTGGCAGATAGGTCTTGAAACAATCCCTGGAGAGCCGATTCGGAGTATCTATAAATTCAATAGACTCAATTGGTAGCAGTTCGCATAATTGAGGAATACCGGAAGTCCCTTGGATTTGCTGGACGTCGATGAAAAAGAGCAACGAGAGAGATTCTTGTCTAGGGAGACATCGGCGGAAGTGGTGCGGCTCTTGGCGCAGCGAAAAGAAATCCGAACTGATGTGCTCCACTTCCTGGGAGTCTCCGATCAAGAGTTTAGCAGTGATTTCGTCTCATCTCCAAACCTCCTTTAATCTGGTCCTGTGACGGCCAGGTGAAGACAGCGCTGACAAGATGTCTTTCAATCTCTTTTCTTCGTCACCTTTTCGAGCATTAGGGTCAAGTCTTGGGTCCTTATCGATTTGCCGATGGAGTTCAACTCTGCCCAGCAAGACAGCCCATCAACGTCCTGCCTCTGCGATTCAAAGTACGCATATCTCTTTTTCTCTTATTTCTCTAAGGATCCTTTGAAAAAATGCTTTTTGGACGTGCTGCTGACATGTGTTTAGACAGAGTGTTCCAGCGCCGTCGTCTACCCAACCGCCAAAAATTTCTCGAGGACCAAAAGGCTCAAGGTGAAAGTAGGGCCCTAGAGAAGTTTCAGACTCGTGATTGGAAAGCGGGTGATATCTACGCTCCCCATGATCTTAGTCCGGCAGAAATGAAGAAGTGGAGGAAGCGCCAGGGCCCGGCAGCAGATGCTTTCGACGCTTTGAACATGAATCCGCTTGATCTCTACAAGGTTCGCTTGAAATCAAGAACGCAATGCGCTCATTCTCGTTTGAACGCAAAGATGGCGGACATGGCTAACCAGGGATGATTTCCACCACAGAATTTTTCTATCATGTCCGAATACATCACCCCAATGGGCCGCATAAAGCACAGGAACACAACCGGCCTACGACCGGTGAACCAGCGAAAGATTGCAAAGGCTATTCGGAGAGCAATCGGCATGGGCCTCATGCCAAGTGTCCACAGACACCCTGAGATCCTGGCAGCGGAAGCAAAGGCGAGAATGGAGGGAACCCCCATCTATTAGATGTGGGAAGCTCGTTTGCGTGTATTCAATATAATGTCGAATTATGCACGGCCGGAGTTGTTCATTCTTCATGTCTTCTTATCACCTGTATCAATCCCCAAGATGTTTGCAATGGGAGATACCTGTACTACTACTATTGATTGAATTAAAAAGGGCTATATTATGATTGAATCTATACCGTCACCTCGGCAATTTGCACAGTTAGACTTAAATCTCCTCGATTTTTAGATCATTCTTGCTTCTTGCTTCTCTGTTCCAGGGGGTTTGATTTTGTGGTTGCTCAACTGGCTTTTCCCACTGATGCATACGTCAAAGGTCCCTGTTGAAAGTAGTGGCTGGTTCGGAGTAAACAATCCTCCATCTTCAACTTTCTCAACTACTCCTTTCCCCCCTGCCTGTGCGTTTTGTTATCATTGATCTTTTGTAATTGTCTGCTGGTTCAGTCATGCCAATCACCAATGGTTGACTTCCCCTGTTCCTTTCTCTAAGCGATATAAATGCTGACTGGACCCGTAGAATCCATCTGGGCTGCCAGCCCCTCCACCACGAGGGGTCAGCCCACCCACTTATCCTCGGATGCAAAAGGAGAACGTCTGGCTTATGCGGTATGAATATCATGGTGCAAACATTGCTGACAATAAAAATCAACAATAGCTGATAAAATTTGGCATACAGTCCGGTAAATCGATCTTCTTGCGTTCGATCGATAACCCCTCCATCGCCAGGCAGTATACCGAACATAAGGCACAGACAACAGTTGCTCGCTTCTCACCTTCTGGCTTTTACGTTGCCAGTGGTGACGCTACTGGTCTAGTAAGAGTTTGGGACTGTGTCGGTGAAGGAATCACAAAGGGTGAATACAGCATCGTCAACGGTCGTATCAACGACCTCGCCTGGGACGGCGATTCTCAGCGCATCATCGCCGTTGGTGATGGAAAGCAGAGGTACGGCCACTGTATTACATGGGATAGTGGCAACACTGTTGGCGAGATCTATGGACATACACAGCAGATCAATTCCGTCTCCATTAGGCAACAAAGACCCCTGCGAGCGGCGGCCGCTGGTGACGACAAGAATCTAGTCTTTTACCACGGAGCGCCGTTCAAATTCAATACGGGAATCAGGGATAAGCACACAAATTACATATACGGAGTTGGATTCAGCCCCGATGGTTCGACATTGGTTAGTGTTGGTGCCGATCGAAAGATCTGGCTCTACGATGGAAAGACTGGCGAACCTAAAGGTCAGATTGGCGAAGGAGAGCATAAAGGAAGTATCTTCAGCGTGTCATGGTCGAAGGATTCGAAGAAGTTTGTCACCGCAAGCGCTGATCGAACCGTGAAAATATGGGATGCGGAGGCAGGCAAGGTCTGTCAAAGCTGGACCCTGGGAGAGGAAGGAAGCTCCAACGTCCGCGATCAGCAAGTCGGTGTGGTTTGGCCTTCCGGCAGAAGCGACAATTTGCTCATTAGTCTGTCGCTCAGCGGTGACCTGAACTACCTAGTCGAAGGGACACCTGAGCCTAGACAGGTAATTCAGGGTCATCAGAAGAGCATAACATCCTTGACTCAATCCCGCTCTGAGGGTCAGGACGAGACTCTGTGGACCGGCAGCTTTGATGGAAGGGTGTGCAGCTGGGACGTGTCCACTGGAGCCGCTGAGGAGGCGGACGGGGACTGCCATTCGGCATATGTCGCAGGTCTTGCGCCGACCCAGGAAGGAACTGGCAGGATTTATAGTGTGGCTTGGGATGATACCCTACGGTCCGTCGATGTCGGCGCCAGAACATACACTGGAAGTAACTCCAAGCTTTCTGGACAGCCCAAGAGTGTCGCCGCCGGCGACTCGACAGTTTTGGTGGGTACATCCGAAGGCGTTGAGATCTATAGGGATGGAAAGAAGACCGGTGATTTCAAACCAAAATCCACAGTTACTGCTGTCGTGGCTCGTGGCAATGTCGCGGCGGTTGGAGGTGAAGATTCAACGGTGCAGATCTGTGAAATCTCCAACTCCACTCTATCTCCAAAGACAGACATCAAAGCCTCTCGGAACCCAGTGTCTGCTCTGGCCTTTTCGCCCAATGGTTCTCTGCTGGCCATTGGTGACTCGCGAGGCCGCGTGCTCGTGTACAAGGTGGCCGACGGCAGTCTGGTCACCGACCGTTGGACGGCACACACAGCAAGAATCACTTCTATTGCCTGGAACGGAAGTGGCACTCTCTTAGCAAGCGGTTCTTTGGATACGAACATCTTCGTCTGGAGTTTAGCCAACCCAGGAGACTGGTTGCAAGTGTCCAACGCTCACAAGGAGGGTGTCCATGGTGTCATCTGGCTTGCAGGCGGATCTAGGATCGCCTCGGCCGGCGCTGATGCCGCAGTCAAGGTTTGGAAGGTAGAAGGCTTGGAATAGGATCATCTCAATGCGACAAAGGCGATAGTGAAGGTCACCATTCGAGCCCGTAACACTTGATACATCATGCTTCGGATCGTCGATGAATATATTGTCAAGATCATAGCAAAACCCTCCGCACATACTTCTTTGTTCAACTACATATTTAGCAATAATATAAGCGTCATATGTCTGAGTGCGTAATCGATGCTTCCAAAGGACGTGGCAGTAATAACTAGGTATGTATCACTACGTAATGGCTGCGGACGCGCTCCACACCGGCGTAAAGTGGACACCACAAAGTGATCGCCCCAAACAAGGCTGGGCCAAGCGTCCAAGGGAAGCTTCTGGGTGAATATATGCGACTCAATACCGAATACTGGATAAATTGACAGTAATGGGCTCTTCTCTGTGCCTTGCAAAAGGCAAAGGACAATGAGCTGGTAACATGCCTCTGTCTGGGGACTCGTCTAGAGGTTCCCGTCGCTTTCTGCGCCCAACAAAGGTAATATGGATCGCCCTCGCCAGCTCTCACATTCAGACATCTGCAATTCTAACTCTTGTATTTTATGCAGCTTCGACAAGCGACGTTTGTTCTACCAAAGACTGGTCAACGCTTGAGAGGTCTTGTCAATTTACGGGGCTCACATAACGTAACCAGCAATGATGATGAGGAGCGACGAGGGCTTCTTTCCGGGGAAGTCTCCACGAACGGTCAAGACGTTCCATGGCGGATTTGGAGACGAGTTTCAGACGCATGGCGCTGGACGCGTGGTTTTGTCACCTCCGAGCCCGGAATAGGGGTTTTAAAATGCAGTCTGGCCTATCTACTTGGGTCCCTTGCTACTTTCATTCCCGCGGTTGCGGCATTTCTGGGTCATCAAGATGGCAAGCATGTGGTGGCTACTGTCACAGTATATTTCCATCCAGCGCGGTCACAAGGCAGCATGTACAAGGCGCTGATTTGCGCTCTCTTGGCCTTCCTATATGCAGCCTTCATCTCCCTCACGAGCATGTGTGTTAGCATGTTCTTCCAGGATACGCTCGACATGCGTGCAGTCGGCCATGCCGTTGTTCTTATAGTGTTCTGCGGAGGTGGCTTGGGTTTCATAGGATGGACGAAGCAGAGATTCAGCGATCCGCTTGTGAACGTCGCTTGTTCCCTTGCTTCGCTTGCGTCGATCACCGTATTGACGAAAGAAGGTGCGGTGCAAAGCGGAGATTTGTCCTTCACCAAGGTCGTCCAGGTCTTGAAGATGGTCATCATGGGCGTCACCGCTGCCATGGCCGTGTCATTCTTGATATTTCCCATCTCTGCGCGGAAAAAACTACGCTCGAACCTCGCTACTGTGACTGAAACTCTGGCAATCATGCTGGCCCTCATTACGGACAGTTTTCTGAGTGGCTCTGAGGAGGAGCTTCAGACGGCCGAGTTCCTCGACGCAGCTGAGCGGCATAAGAAGGCATATGCCCAACTCGATAAGCTTGTCCGAGAGGCAAAGCTTGAGCACTTCGTCGCGGGGACAGAGAAGGAATACAGGCTAGAAAAGAACTTAGTACGATGGGTTCAAGATATCACACACAATATGGGAGGTCTACGCAGTGCTGCTTCGCTGCAATTTCAACTTTTGAAGCAATCGACGCTAGCTGATCCAGTACCTGGGCGCGGTCAAGAAAATACTCCCAATGGTAACAACCATGTGCCATCGTCAAGCCCGTACTCCTCGCACGGGCAAAGTACACCCCTCGAGTCGATTGAGGAGAGGCCGGAACAAGAACTTGGAGAAGGAGAAGCAGCCGCAGAAGACGATCTCCGACCCAATGAAGACCAGTTTGACCCAAACCTGACTCGAGACGACGAATCTTCTGTCGAGCATACCCTTCGTCCCGAAGACTTGTTTGCGCTGTTCATCAGCCACCTAGGTCCTTCCATGGTATGCCGACCTCTTTGTGGTTGAACCACGCAGAGATTATGCTAACAATCAACAGCGATCCCTTGCCTTCACCTTAAAAGAGATTTTCAAAGAGATCCCTTTTACGCCTCCGCCTGACTATAAAGTCTCTGTCAACAGTAGGTTCCATGTTAGTCTTGATCGCGCTCTAGAACTTTATCAACAATCGCGAGAGGAGGCTTTGAAGGTTATCTATCGCCAGAAGGAACTTTTAAAGATACAAACCCTGGAGGTAGAAGCGGATCTCGAGGAAGTTTCTGCCAGCTGCGGACATTTCAGTTTCTCACTGCTGGAATTTGGCGAACAGCTGAAAGACCTGCTGGCTATCTTAGACGAACTACAACTCGAAGCCGAGGAGAGACCGAATGGGAGATCATGGAATTGGTTGAAAGTATGGCGCTGGAGAACAGCCAAAACCCAGAACACGGAGCTTCTGGATTCTGGTAAGTTCTTTCAAGCTGGAACAAGCAAGTGCTTCAGTTTGGCTACTTTGTGCTAATGGAAAACTGTATAGAACAACCGTTCATTGGGTCAACGGTAAGAGAAGGAGTGACTACTGTGGCTTCTAACAGTCCTTTTGTTCTGGAAGTTAGGCCGCCCTCTTCAACAAGAAGCCCGAAGAATCTGCCTGCGAAGGAGCGCCTCAGCTATCGAATCTGGAAATCGCTTGGAGTTTTCCGACGTGAAGACACGAAGTTCGCGATCAAGGTCGGCACAGGAGCGGCTCTGTACGCCTTGCCGTCCTTTCTCGAATCCACACGGCCTCTCTATTCTCATTGGAGAGGTGAATGGGGCTTGTTATCTTATATGTTGGTATGTTCTATGACCATTGGAGCATCCAATACCACTGGCTATTCTCGATTCCTGGGTACATGCCTAGGAGCGGTCTGTGCCATTACGGCATGGTATGTGACTGATGGGAACGTGTTTGGACTGGCCATTCTCGGTCTGATCATGGCAATGTGGACATCTTATATAATCGTTGTCATGGGGAAAGGGCCGATGGGTCGATTCATTATGCTCACCTACAATCTTTCTGTGCTGTACGCGTACTCTTTGACGCAAAAAGAGGGCAGGGACGATCAGGATGAGGGTGGCGACTCTCCCATCATCACCGAGATAACGCTCCATCGAGTTGCGGCCGTTTTGTCTGGCTGCATCTGGGGTATCGTCATTACGCGGGTCATTTGGCCTATTAGCGCGCGCAAGGAGCTCAAGGATGGCCTGAGTCTGTTATGGCTTCGTATGAGTCTGATCTGGAAGCGCTACCCGTTGTCCCTGCTGGCGAAAGGGGAAAATTCCATGGGCTTCATGATCCCAAGAGAGAAGCTGGAGATTGAGCGGTCCCTGTCTCGTCTGGAAGCTCTTCAAGCTGCAGCTCGTGCAGAATTTGAGCTGAAGAGTGCATTTCCCGATGCTGCATACAGCAATATACTCCGTCGCACAAGGAGCATGGTGGACGCATTCCACGCCATGAATCTAGAGATGATCAAAAATGTGACTGCTTCGGAAGGTGAACTGGCTCTGCTCAACTATACAGCTCAGGAAAGAGAGCATCTGTCTGCTCGCATTAGCCACCTATTATCAGGTAGACTCTGGCACATCCCTAAGTCATCGCTGACCAGCTGACACTTGACAGTCATGGCGTCTTCTATGAAATTAGAATATCCGCTGATCGACGTACTTCCGAGCATCGAGCATGCAAGAGATCGACTTCTTGCTCGTATATTCCGCTATCGCAAGGATCCTGAGGCTTCTCGGTTGACAACAGACGAAGACTATGCCTTGCTCTATGCCTACAGTAAGTTGAGCTTGGTCCCTTTCCGCCTCTCATGAACGAGCCACATACAAATTGATCTGACATGATTGATCGTATTTGTAGTCCTGGTGACGGGTCTATTATCGACTGAGATTGTGGAAATTATGGAAGAGATTGGTAGACTATTTGGTGTGCTCAACGAGGATGTAGTCAAGTTATTTTACTAGGCGTATCCTGAATGAAACTCTTTGGTGCTTTATACGAAGTTTACAAATGTCATTATCTCTTAAATCATCAAGATATCTCTCTAGCATTGTCCTCTCTGCGATCTGTACCCACTGGCCGCGAATTACGGCCGGTTGTCGTGACTGAACCTCATCTTTCTGCTTTTGGCGGGGAAGTCGTCCACCTCCACGATTCATTTCCGACCTCCTTCCATCGCCTCGGTCATCAACGCGCCGCCTTTTTCATCGAGATTTCGCCCATTTTTGTGATTGTTCATCATCTGCGACCTCCAGAGCAAATTGGGGGCCAGTTTAATGGCATGTATTCACATTAATGAAGGCCTAGTTCTCCCCATTTCCGGCTTCGCGCAGCCCGTCGCGCCTCTGCGAGCCTTGCAATCATGCAGATCGACCCGGCAGCTCTGAGTCGGACAGACTCTGCATCAACTGCGACAGCATCGTCCAAGACCGCAGCTCCTGGCCCTCCGACGACTCAAAAGTCTACGAAGGCTTTGATATCAGTTCCGCGATTGGATCTCGAACCTATCTACACGGAGCTGAAAGCCGCTATCGGTGAAAACTGGGCTGAGTACAAAGAGTCTACAACTCTGTTCCTTCTGGGTGTGTGATCCTGCTTCTCATTGGCTTCACTTCCCTTCTTTTGCTCATCGTGAAGCTGACAACTAATCCTCTGCGGCAGGACATCTCAATCAGAATGAGCTCGCGTCGCGCGTTGATCACATCATTTGCGCCGATCAGAAAACCGAACACCTCCACAACAATTTTATATGTGCGATCATAGGGAACCTCACAAGAGATCTCCCCGACCATGGTGTGGCAAGTTGGGTGTCAGCGAACGACAAGCCGTCGGTCGTATCGAAACCCTCCTCTGGAGATGCAGCGGAGGCAAGGTTGAAGACAGAGGTTATGCAATTACCTCCCAGAGACCGTCGGAGAATAAAGGCGATTCCAGAGGTATGTCACCCGGAAATTCTCTGAATTATGACGGGCTCTAACATTATCGTCTTAACCAGCGTGACCCTCATGAGACCGTGCCCAATGAAGTAGAAGAATATCATCTCGCGAAACAGATCAAGCTCCCTAGCCAGGTCCCAGCTAGTGCTGGTGGTTTGAATAAAACAAGTAAGTCCATACAATGTTGAGCATTTACTTTCATCAAGCTGGACTAACTGTTCGGTGACTGCCAGATTGGGAGTTAGAGATTCGGAAACGCTATGCGCAACCCTTGGCATCGGAAACTGGCGAATTCCCAGATGCCGAATCAATACATGCGCGAATGATACCAATATGCTATGAGGAGTCCGTAGTTAGCGGCGCAGGCTTCCCGTGTGCTGAGTTCATGGCGATTGCAACAGAGACTTTCGTTAAGGAAGTACTATCTGTGGTGTTTTCCCGTACCAGGTGCAATGGCCCGTCTGGCACAATCAATGGCATGATGATGCGCAAATATCGACAGCAACTCGAGTTAGAGGAGCTGGCCTATACTCGCGGCGAGATCGTTAAAGACAGCGCGACTGGGCTTCTACCCATTGAGGCCAAAGAAGCAAGCAATCGGAAGCCTCTCGGTGTTCGCGATCTTCGACTAGCGCTGGAAATTGGAGGAGGAGTGCTCAGTCATATGCCTCTTATTGTCGATCATATTATGGGAGGCTATTTTGAGGATGAATTGGAGGCCGACAAACAGGACCAAATCGACGAAGTTGCCGACACTGCTGATAATGACACAAGACCGAACCAGTTCACAGATGAAATGGAAGTGGAGGACGATGCAGAATTGGACTGGGAAGGGGCCACCGCGGTAGATCGGGCTCAGTTGGGCTCGTTACTAGATGAGTGCCTTTCTCTGGCCTCATGAGCGTTTGTTTGTCGACCTACTGTCGGTCTCGCTGGCTGTTACGTCTATGAGGCCCTCTAACTGCCTCATCGGACAACCAGCTCCCCCCTCCCCTTTATTCTTCTTCTCCTTCCTCCTCACTTTCCACTTCATTTATGCTTTTTTAGTTTCATGTGCTTTGCATGTTTCTACTTCGCAAGGACTGCAGCATGCCGGTCTGGACGGTGGCAGCTGTTAAGGCGTCTTTGGAGTCACAAGGACTGTTGTCATTGGTTGGACATCATGAGTTTGCATTTGGCATGGAGTTCGAGCTGAAATCTCTATTGTACTATTTCTACTCCCTTTTTCTTTTTGTCTCTGTGTTTGCTTATTTGTGGAGTTTTTGCTTCCTAGGCTTCAGCTTTGAAGCAACGTCGAAAGACAGCCTTGACAGCTCATACTGGAGGGATGTTACTCACGATGGTGGGGGGAAAAAATGGAAAGGACAGTGCTTGAATGTGCTGCGAGTCGCGTTTGATACCCATGGCTCGATTAGTTTACTGTTCTCTTTGGCTTTCTCTCTTTTTTTTTTCTCTGTCTCTGTCTTTTGAAATCAGGTATGTCGGGGTTGAATTTGCATCTTTTGGCCCATTTGATGAGAAGATATGAAACTTCACTATGTGGGAATTGCTCTGTATGTCGTTCTTTTAAGTCTTTTTCCTCTTCAATCTTACTGTATATTACTAGAAGTGCTCTTTGATAGCTTCACATTGACTGATCTGTTGATAATGGGCAGTCCTAACATCACTGGCACATCTCACACTGGTTAACTGCATCGCTCGTTACATGTAATGTTGTCATTGCTTTGAAAGATAATGTAGATGTCTATCATTTCTGCTTCTAGGAAGCATTCTCATCAGTCAATCGAGGTTGCCATTCTCCAGAACGCCAAATCCGTGATAGCATCAATGTCTCGGCTGAACAATGCAATAAAATAAAATCTGGTATTGTACATTTGATTTATTGTGTCAGACGGTCTGCAACCATCTTGAGAATCTCTTCTGTCGACTTGCGCGCGTTGACTGGGTCCTTGGCCACAGACTGCCAAACCTCACCATGTTTGGGCTCAGTCGAGACGCACTTGGCCACGACGTCCGCTCGTTTTTCCTGTACGAAAATGCACGTTAGTCGCATGATATGTTGACAATAAATCAGAAATGGACAAAGATGAACGAACCTCTGTACCATGCTGCAGCAGGAATTTGTAGTACCAAGCCCAGCCGTCGCCGAGATCGCTGTCCGACACGATGGCTTTCTCAAACCACGTCATGGCTTTTTCCAGTCGACGCTCACCCCAAAATATACGGGCGACCGTGATAAACAGGATCGGGTCGTTATCAACTTTCTTAATCGCCTCCAAACTACGGGCCTTCCGTTGCGCCCGAGGTTCGAGATGCCAGATACTCTCGCTCCATAGTAGGCCGGAGGTCGGAACTTCCTGCAGGGCCTTGGCCATTAAGACCTTGGCCTGCCCGATATTATTTGCACGCCGTTCCACGCGGACACTCTCTGTCCATAACTCAGCGCTCTTGGGGACGGCAAGGCGTGCCCTATCGAGAATTGAACGAGCCTTGACAACGGCGCCGGACTTCTCTTCAAGTCTGGAGGCCAGGAGCCAAAGTGGCACCGATTTGGGACACGCTCTGGTACCAGTGCTGTAGGCCTCTCTGGCTTGTGGATATTTGTTCTGGTATTCGTAGATTTGCCCCTTCATCATCCAGAGTTTGTCGGCCTTGGGATACAGCTGCAACCCCTGATTCACCAGATCAAGCGCCTCGTCGATGTTGCCCAGTTGCCGTTCAAAAGCAACACTCTTGATCCAAACACGGTCAGTGCCAGCTTCCCGTCGGGCAGTTGCGAGGAGTTCCCTAGCTTGATCTGTCTGGTCTGCATCCGCTTCCAATTTGACAGCAGCGAGCCAGATGTCCTCATTGTTCGGATTCTGATTGAAAGCCCGCCCGAGCACGCGTCGAGCGTCGTCGATCTCGCCAGCTTGCCACTTTTCCTTCGCGAGCTGGAGCCACAGTTCTTCGCTTTGAGGGCATGCCTCCACTGCCTTCTCAAGGACTTGCCAGAGGGCCTCTTTGGAGCCATGATTACGCTCCAGATCGGCAGCCGCGAGCCAGATAGATCGACGGTTGACAAAGACACGCAGTGCATAAGCATAAATCGCTCTTGCAGTCTCGTACTTGCCCCTCGCGACACTGGCCTTCGCATCGTCCATCCAGATATCCTTGCGGTCATCGTCTTCATCAAGCCCCCATCCGAGAGTTTCACGGATGATTGCGCCACATGTGAGAATGGCTCCCTCTTCCTCGCACTTCTCAGCTTCCGCAATCCATTCCTCTCTCTTAAGCATGGCATTTTCCCTTGCCAGAAATTGGACTGCCCTCTTCATCACGTTGACCTTCTCGAAAGTGCCCATTTGCTCCTGCAATCGTGCGGCGGCGATCCAAACTTCATGACTCGTAGGGACGGCCTTACGAGCAGCATTCAGAACCTTTTGTGCATTTTCAGGTGATTCTAGTCGGGCAAGAGCAAGCCATAACTCAACAGACAAAGGGATCATTTCAACTGCCTTCGCTAGGAGAAGACGTGCATCGGCGGGATCTTCTTCCAGGTTGACAGCTTCTTTCCAGATGGCAACAGACTGAGGCACGTGGAGAATGGCTTGCCTAAGCACATTCTTTTTTGCGCGAGTGTCGGACTCTAGCCTCATGGCCTCAATCCAAAGTCTTGTGGAACGATCATTATTCTTGATTGCATTGGCTGCAATAACTTTGGCATTGTGGCCTTCGTTCAAACGAATATTTTCGAGCCACGCATCCTCACTTTTCGGGCATAGTTCGCAACCTTTGGCGATGATGTTCCTGGCAGCAACAATTCTTCCAGCAAGTTCTTCCAAACGTGCAAGTGCAATCCATCCAGGAGCGTGCTTAGGATTCGTTTTGGTTACAGATTCCAATAAGACACGCACTCGCTTGATGTCGCCAATCTCGACTTCGCCGGCTTTCAGCTCCGACTGCGTCAGACTTGTGAGATATCCTTTCGGGTCGATGTTGGTCGCACTCCCAGAGGAAGAATCAGCAGTGGAACCCCGGGCAGCTTGATCAAGCCTGACCTTGAGCACCTTATCACGAGCAGCACTAATATCAGCGAGATTTGTCATCGTTCCGTCTAACTCGCCTCCACGGACATCCGTCTGGGTGCCGTCGTCGGCTATGGTGGTTTCAAACTGAGTCGAGTCCCTTGCACTGGCAATAACGCTGTCTGGTACCGCATAGAAGCGCTGTCGTAGATTCTGCTTAGCTCTTCGATTCTTCCCCGTAAGGTCTCCGACTTCCGGAAGATTGGCCCATTGCTCTTCTGAAACAGAGGCCAGTGAGCGCTTCAGGTCTGCGAACTGTTGTTGAATTTTCGGATTTTTGCGTTCGTATTCTTCACGCTCTTGACGTTCTCGGGCTTCCCTATAGGTGGCGAAGGAATCAAGTCGGTCGTCTGTCCAAACAACGGGGGGTAAACCCGATGAACAACGCATCTCTAAGATAAAAGGAATGGGAGGCATGTACTAACCTTCTTGCTTTCCGGCGCTTATCCATCTTCTCATCTACTTCCTTGTAGATGCGGTCCGCTTCGTCATCTTCTTGATCGAATTGCCCGTAGGCAAAAAGCCCAACCTCATTGTCCGGATCTTGGAAACGTTCATCCTCCTCTTCTTCCTCTTTCTCTTCTCGTCCGCCCTTTTCGCGTCCTGCGCCATATGCTGTTGGGGGAGCTGCTCCAAGAAGCTGCGCTCTCTTCGCAAGAGCGGCCTGAATCTGCTCAGGTGTAGGACCCTCACGCGCAGGTCCTAAGTCAGAACGGGTGGTGAAGCCGGTCGCACCTCTACCTAAACCCGCGACATAATTTTCGGGCGCAGGTTGGTTCAGAAAATCCTTCCGACCTGAGGCCATGTTGAGCGAAGCTCAACGATAAAACTGGCTAAGAGATGAAAACAAACAGAAGGGCAATGTAAATTGTGATTTGATGAAGACGAAGAGCTTCAAGTGGCGATGCCTGCAACAAAGTACCTCCGACCCGCTTATCTTATCAGAATGTCCGCTTTTTGGGGCCATTTCATTAACTACTAAGATCAGCAGCATCGCACTGGCAGACAGGCAACAAGGGACGGAATGAGACACAGAGATGAATTGAAATATCATCATGAGGAACCTTTTATCTTGGCTTCTAAAACAGATTCGGAAGTTATGTACTAGATTTCCAGTGGATGTGTCAAATGTAGTCCTCAGCATTGGAGAAGTGAGACTAATATACCAATATATGCTTCGTAACATTTGTTTCGAATGCCTTTGGATTATTTACAGATCAGAAGCGGTTTCCATTATCGAACTGTTCACATCTGCATCAGGACAGAGCTCTGTGTTTTTAATTGTGCTCTAGGACTTCCTGCGGAGCCCCTTCGCTCTTTCATCAAGTTCAACCCAATGTCCAGATGCAGCCTAGTCGAATGACATACTAAACCCCCATCGCAGGCCGATTCGGAGACGCGCCTGGCTTTCAAGGAGTCAGTATTCTGGGCTCAATTGAAATTCCGTAAATCACATCGCTGAGCAATGTATGTCCGGGATTATGCATGGATATATGTGATGCTACTAGCACGAAGAGAATGGCTCTCTGGACAATCAAGCCAAGGATCAGCCAGCAACCACTACAAGGTAGGTGCGACATTTTTCGAGGACGCGCAGCGTGACGGCAAGGATCAAATTGTGCGATCGTTATAGTAAGCGTGTAAACGTATTAGACATTTCCAGATCGTTGACCGATGCTCTCACAGAAAAGCTTCACCGAACGAGCCTTGTCAGAGGCGAGATATGGTGTAGGGTTGTTGATGCTTTGAGATGATGGCAGGCAGTAAGAAGACGGTATGTGACCCTACAGTTGGAACCGAGAATAAGACAGCCACATGGTGAGTCTGGTCTAGG